TTTTTTTTTTTTTGCCAGTCCTGGGGCTTGAACTCAAGCCTGGGCACTGACCCTGAGCTTCTTTTGCTCAAGGTTAGTACTCTACCACTTGAGCTACAAGCGCCACTTCTGGCTTTTTTTGTTTATGTAGCACTGAGGAATGGAACCCAGAGCTTCATGCATGCTAGGCAAGCACTCTACCACCAAGCCACGTTCCCAGCCAATAGTCTATGAGACTCTAATTCCACTGAAACTACAAAAAATTGCCGGAAGTGGAGCTGTGGCTCAAGTGATAGTGTGCTAGAATTGAGGAAAAGAAGTTTAGGGATAACATCCAGGGCCTGAGTTCAAGCCCCAGGATGGGCACACACACTACCCACACAAGATGGGCACGACAGTGCCTGTCATCTCAGCTATATGGGAAGCATATAAAAGGATTGGGGGCTGGGAAGGTGGCTCAGTGGTAGAGTGCTTGCCTTGCATGCATGAGTCTCTGGGTTCAATTCCTCAGCACCACATAAGCAGAAAAAGCTGGAAGTGGTGCTTTGGCTCAAGTGGTAGAGTGCTAGCCTTGAGCTGAAGAGATGAGGGACAACATTCAGGTCCCATGACCAACAAAGAAAGAAAAAGAGAGTAAGAAGGAAGGAAAAGAAAGGATTGGGGTTCAGACTGATTTATAAAAGCAAGACCAACAATAATCAAGCAAAAAGGACTGGAAGTTGTAGAGTACATGGCTAGCAAGTCCAGGGCCTGGAGTTCAAACCCCAGTACCATCAAGAAAAAAAAAAGGTGGGGAAAAGAAAGCTGTGATATTTACCCAGTCTTGTGCATGGATTCTTCTGTGGATAAACCTGAAAGCATAACCCCAAGATCTTGCAGTATGAAGCCATCGACTTACCTGGGAATAATAGTTGCCAAGGTAATTCAAGCAGGATCTACCACAGGACAGGGTGCAAGGCTCTTTACAAGATGATTCCTGGTGTCTTCTCAGCTTTGTTACTTAGTACCTTCCCTTATATACCTTCCATTTGACTTGGCTCAGCTTGCCTTATCTACATCACATGGCCTTTGGCCTTCTGTGTAGAGTTGATTAATTTCATCCCCATCATTTCTGGGTGGCAGATCCCTGGTTTACTTCCTCTGCCTCTGTAACTCTTCCAGATGCCTTTGGGTATTAGTTCAGTTCTTATCCATTCCATTGTTAAGGACTCGAACCAGCATTTGTGGTGTGTATATGTCTGACTTCTCTACCAGATAATGCCCCAAAGACAAGGGGGCATTCTCTAGGGCCCAGTATGGGCTTTGGAAAATGGCATGTATGGGTTTAACTTTCAGATCTGCCAAGTTTTTTTTTTTCCATTTTCTTTTTTAAAATAATTTTTTTATTGTGGTTAAGTGATTACATAAATTTCACAGTATTGTGAGATAGTGATACTCAGGTAAAGTCACAAACACATTCTAACCTTCATGAGGCAAATTGTCATTATCCTGGTCTATAAAGTTTGTGAATTCTATAGCTTTGACAATACAGCTATTTCTTCCACATTGGGTGAGTATGTACATTTCTTTCCGCTATCCTCTCATTCCCTCCCTCCCATCACTACCCTTGAATTGCTTAATTCCTTTTCATCAGTGTCCAGTGCAGCTGATGGGCCCCTCTGTTGTATGTTTTCCCGTTTCCCTCTGATTCTGTGTCCTCCTCCTAGTTTCCCTCAGATGTGTGCATATATACCATATACGTGGCCAACAACTTAATGATACAACAAAATGAGTGGAGGTCCTTAGTTTCTTGAATCCTGTTTACTTTGTCATATCTCCTTGCATTTTGTATTTAACATCCACATATCAGGGAGATCATGTGCCATTTGTTTCTTTGCTCTTGGTTTACCTCATTCAAAATGATTTTTTTCTTTTTTCTTTTTTTTTGGGGTCCAGTCATGGGACCTGAACTCTGGGCCTAGGTGCTGTCCTTCAGCTCGTCAGCTCAAGGCTAGCACTCTACCACTTGAGCCACAGAGCCACTTCCGGCTTTTTTCTTTTTGCTTATGTGGTGCTGAGGAATTAAACCCAGGGCCTCAGGCATGCAAGGCAAGCGCTCTACCACTGAGCCACCTTCCCAGCCCCTCAAAATGATTTTTTTCTAGTTTCATCCATTTCCCTGTAAATGCCATTATTTTGTCCCTTCTAATGGCTCTAGCAAGTTTTTAACAGTTCTGAACCACTATTGCTGCAGAGTTGTAGCAAAGATTAAAAGTATGTGTTCATTTAGTAACAATGCTATATTAGGGTCTTTAGTTAAATGTAAAAGGCAGGCTAAATGGCTAAGACTAGTGAAATAGGTCTGGGGATATAGTTCAACAATAGAGTGCTTGACCAACATGCACAAAGTTCTAGTTTCAGTTTTTAGCACTCAAAGGAAAAAAGTGAATGTCGGTAAGGAAAGAGTAGATGGATTAATGTTATTTGGGGGGAAGAATTTAAATGTTTGTCAAAAGTTAAGGTGAGCCAGGCATTGGTGGCTCATTCCTGTAATCCTACCTACTCAGGAGGCTGAGATCTGAGGATTGCAGTTCAAAGCCAGCGTAGGCAAGAAAGTCAATGAGACTCCTATATCCAGTTACCAGAAAACCAGAAGTGGAACTGTGGTTCAAAGGGTAGAGTGCTAGCCTTGAGTAAAAGAGCTCAGGGAAAGCGCCCATGCCCTGAGTTCAAGCTTATGACCAATTTTTTTAAATAATAATTTCAAGTGTTTTTTCTGACTATAAGCACACATTTTACTGTCATATCTTCATGATCAAGATGAAGGTAGTAGACTTGCAGGGAGGGGCCAGTGGCTCACACCTATAATCCTAGCTATTCTGGACACTGAGTTCTGTGGGTCATGGTTCAAAGCCAGCTTGGGAAGATAAATCTGAGAGAATCTTATCTCCAGTTAGCCAGCAAAAGATGAGAACTCAAGACTGAAGTCATAGAGTGAGCAAGAAAGCAGAGCCAGAGTTGCAAGTCGAGTTCAACAGAGACACAACCAACACAGAAAGAAAGAAGAAAATAGAATGGGAGGGGAATGGGGTGGGGAAGGAAGGAGATAGGAGGAAAGGAAAGAAGGAAGGGAGGGAAAGAAAAACACGGTGGACTCAAAAACTGTCAAATAACTGAAGTCTGGTTATTAACTGTATGAAGGATCATCTTAGATTAGAAATTGGTTAAAAGAAGAAAATTATTGGAATGAGTTGTCTAGAGATGGCAAGACCTCCTTGTTTGAGTGTTTCTAAAGCCAAGGCCAGTTCCCATGAGGAATGGTGTGGTACTGGTACTAGAAGCTACTACTGAGCCTGTCAACCGCTGTAGCATCACAGCTTCTCAGGAAGTAATGGTTATAAACAGTATGTTTTGTCCAAAAAAGAAATTCATTACCTGACTTACAAAATGGCAACCTCTCCATATATCACCTGTATTACAATTTTAAAAAGAAAAACAAAAAACAATGTGTTGACCAAATTCTTTTTCTTTGTTTAGGTAATAAAGCTCTTACAGTCAAAATACCACTCTAAAGAAGAGGCTGAACTCATCTGTGATAAAGTTCAAGTTAAACTCAGCAAAGAATGTTTTCATCCTTACAGTACATGTATTACAGATCTGAGGACTTCACACTGGGAAGAGGCAATCCAGGAAACAAAAGGTGGTGCTGACAATAGGAAATTGGCGGAAGAATGTTATTTTCTCTGGAAATCTACACGTTTACAGCATATGACCCTACCAGAAGATGTCAAAGCCATGCTTACTGAACTGCGCAAAGAGGTCCGCCTGCTCTTGTTAACAAACGGTGATAGACAGACACAGAGAGAGAAGATAGAGGCTTGTGCCTGTCAATCCTACTTTGATGCTATCGTTGTAGGTGGAGAGCAGAAAGAGGAGAAGCCAGCACCTTCCATATTTTATCACTGTTGTGATCTTCTTGGAGTACAGCCTGGGGACTGTGTGATGGTTGGTGACACATTAGAAACGGATATTCAAGGAGGCCTCAATGCAGGGCTGAAAGCAACAGTCTGGATAAACAGAAGTGGAAGTGTGCCAGTGATGTCATCCCCTGTTCCACACTATGTGGTTTCTTCTGTGCTAGAATTACCAACCCTCTTACGAAGTATAGATTGCAAAGTTAGCTTGTCAGTTTAAATCATTTAAAAGCATGATGACAATGTTTACAGTCAATTTACAGGGTTGGAACTGAGGAAAGGCATTTTATGTATTATGGTCCAGTTCTAATTATAGTGTGATTTCGGATTTAATGACTATATTATAAAGGTTCTCCAACTCTATTGCTTTTGATATGCAACTGTAAGATTTGTATTTATATCTGAAAATCCAGATTGTATTAATACAAGTTACTTTTAGTAGGAGGTCCAGCAAACTTGAAGAAATGTAGTATTTGTTAGTCTATTACTTGAGATTTATAAAATTATTTTAATAATTTTTTAGCATCTTGGCTTCAGGATACTAAGCAGGGTAGCATACCCCTGGATATACAAGTGCGGGTGTTTGGCTTAGGAATAGATATTTTTTAATAAATAGATATTCTAAAACATAGTTATTCATAATCTAGTTAATATTGAAATAAGTACTAAGTTTAGCAAATCATGGTGTTTCCTAGTGAAACGTTGAATATTTTTAAAACATAAATCATATTTTTGGCTACTCTGGGTGTGTATATTCTTTTCTATTGTGAATCTGATGTTCCTGCCTGACTTTGGAGTGTGGGATGTCTTTCTGTGCTGTGTATATGACAAGTAGATTTTTTCCAGTTTAAAAAGGAAAAAAAAAGAGCTAATAAACCAACATGTGGTACTCCTTCTTCATGCCATTTTCACACCTTTCTAGAGTAAACACATGGCTTTCATATAGTCTTTTAAGTCCTATGGAAATATTTTTTGGTATCTTTTCCAAGGCACACACACAATCGAGTTAAGGGGACTGGGCTGTTTGCTAAAGAAAATTGCTACAAGCCATTTGACTAAAAGTCATTTTCCTTCTGTGGGTTTGTAAGACGAAGGTTGCCTCTGTGTGCCTAACCAGCTAGTCTCCCCACGCCTATCTGTGTTTACGGAGTTGTTCCTCCCATGTGATGAAACTAATAAAAAATCAGATATTATTAACTTAGTTTCAGGGTACCATTTTAACACTTGAGTGCTTCTTAGAGTTACCATCTGCCTTCAAGTTGTTTTTTTTTTTTTTTCAGAACCAAGTAATTATTTTACAGTCTTCTATATCTACTTCAAGGCTCACTTACAGCTTATTAATTAATGGCTCTGTAGCAAGGCATTAGTTCACAACTAGAACAACTTCCAAATACAATTAGGCTAGATAGGCTTATAATTCCACTGATACAACTTGAAGTGGAGTAGCTAATAAAGGTTAAAAGTGACTAAGGGAACTATTGCTTGCATTCTTTTTGGTAGGCTGTATTAAAAAAAAACATGATAAGAAAGTATTAGTGACCAGGTACAGTGACATACACCTATAATCCTAATCCTTGGGTTGTGGAGGGCAGAAAGTTTCAGAGTTTGAGGCCAGCATGGACTGCTTAGCAAAACCCTTTCTCAACAAAAGAAAAATGAATGCCCAAGTACATACATAAGATAAATTATTTGGAAATGTATAGCTGAGATTCTGAAATTCAAGGTAATCTGTAAACCTAAAACTATTTGTCTTCTACACCTAAACCAGATTTTCTGCCTTATGCACATGTCTGTTTTGTGTTTTCTTCTGATTTGATTTTGAGAATGATGATTGTGATCCAGGAAGCTGTTGCTAAGAAGCTGAACACTTGGTGTTTAGAGTTCCAGGTACAATCCCTGTAGGAAATTTTGCCTATTTAAAAGTTGTTGAGGAAGTGGCGCTGTAGCTCAAGTGGTAGAGGGCTAGCTTTGAGCTGAAGAGCTGAGGGACAGTGCTCAGGCCCAGAGTTCAAGCCCCACCACTGACAGAAAAAAAAAAAGGTTGGAGGATTTGGGCAAGAACTGTGTTCATGATGTTCCTAACAGAGCAGTTGACATGTTTGTTGTCTTAGCTGTTCCACTGGGTGGATGATGTAGGTGTGTGGTAGGTGTGTAGCATCACAGTCTTTGTGCTAAGTGTGGGGTTTTATCACTTTGAGAGTATTAAATGAGATTTCTTTGGCAAAAAAAAAAGCCAGGCATTGGAGGCTTATGCCTGTAATCCTAGCTATATATAAGGCTGAGGTCTGAGGATCACAGTCCAAAGCCAACCCCAAGCAGGAAAGTCCATGAGACTTATCTCCAATTAACTACCAGAAAACCAGAAGTGGCACCGTGGCTCAAAGTGGTAGAGAGCAGTAGCCTTGAATGAAGATGCTCACTAAGCGCCCTGGCCCTGAGTTCATGCCCCAGAAACAATAGGAAAAACAACAAGAGCTCAGGGACAACACCCAGGCACCAAGTTCAAGCCCACAACCAACCAAAAAAAAGAGAAAATTAGATGAAATTGACTTGTCTTCACAGTTTGCATTATATACAGAACAGCATTGCAATCCAGTTTGTACTCTTCCTCAGGGAGGAACTGTGTGGCTTCTAACCTGAACAGAATGTTAAAGAGGATATTAGGAAGTTTGGAATAGGGCTGGGAATGTGGCTTAGTGGCACAGTGCTTGCCTAGCACGCATGAAACCCTGGGTTCTATTCCTCAGTATCACATGAACAGAAAAAGCCAGAAGTGGTGCTGTAGCTCAAGTGGTAGAGTGCTAGCCTTGAGCAAAAGAAGCTCAGGGACAGTGCATAGGCCCTGAGTTCAAGCCCCAGTATTGGCCCAAAAAAAAAAAAAAGAGAGAAAATGTTAGAATAGAACTATGATCTTACTAACACTGGTTTTGGTTACAGTCGTTTTTAACTAAATGATACAACAATCATGTTTTGTCATCTGCTTTCCCCTCGTGTCAGGGCCATAGAAAACATGTTTGGTTTTCCAAACATTGCAGTTAAGACTCTTGGGGGTCCTTGTGGACATGGTAAACACCTAGGCTGTTGCACAGTGAGCAAATTCTGAGAACACATACAAAAAAGCTAAGCTGGTCCATGCAGAAAAAAGCTAACCAAAAGTTTGAGGCCCTGAGAAAAGAAAATCTGTCTCTCTCTCCCCCCCCCACTCTTCTCTGTGTGTGGTGTGCTGGTATTGGGGCTTGAATTGGGGGCTTTTTTACTCAAGGCTGGCACTCAGCCACTTGAGCCATGGCTGTACTTGAGGCTTTTGGCTGGTAGTCGATAAGAATTTTAAAGACACTCCTGGCCAGGCTGGCTTTGAATCATAATCCTTAGATATAGGTTTCAGCCTCCTGAATAGCTAGGATTGCAGCTGTGAGTCTACAGGATTGCAGCTGTGAGTCTTTGGTGCCCAGCACAAAATATTTCATGAGTACATTTAAAACCACAGCAGTAACTATCCATAGGATGAAAAATAGAACAATTTGGAATGTGCTTTTATTTCAAAGGAGTTTGTAAGAAATGCTGCAGGCTACTTACTGAGTATAGTGCTGAAAGTATCTACCACAAAAAGAGGGCAAGGTAGGCTGGGGGTGAAATTCAATGATAGAAGCACAAGGTCCTAGTTATAATCCCCAGCACTGCAAAGAATAAAAGTAAAATGCAAAAGTAGCTACAGTAATTTAAATAGAAACTAGAAGAGAGCAAGAAAAATTCTATGTACAGCTGGGGACTAATCTCAGTGTTAATATACTTGTCTAGCATGTGTGAGGCTTTGGATTTGATCCTTGCCACAGCCAAAAAGAAAAAAATGAATCGCAGTAGTAATCTGTTTTTGCTCCCACATTTTTAGTAGCATCAATTAGTTGTACAAGGTGGTTGGGCCGGGCACTGGTGGCTCATGCCTGTAATCCTAGCTACTCAGGAGGCTGAGATCTGAGGATCAAGGTTCAAAGCTAGCCCGGACAGAAAAGACCATGAGACTCCTATCTCCAATAAACCACTAGAAAACAGGAAGTCAAGTGGTAGAGCGCTCACCTTTGAGCTGAAGAGCTGAGGGACAGCACCCAAGCCAGAGTTCAAGCCTCATGACTGACAAAAAAAAAAAAAAAAAGGTGGTTGGTTTCATTTTGACATGTCCTTACATACATATAATTTACCTTGATCAGACTCATCTGTCACTCATCTTCATTCTTCCCCTTCCTAAACTAATCTCAACTATCTTTATTGTTCCATTTTCACATGTGTACATGAAGTATTTGACCATATTCACCCTCTTTTACCTTCTTGGTTCACCCTACCCGACAGGACCTATTTTACATTCCTGACGTTTATTTATTGTTAGTGTATGCTAGTTACTCAGAGGTTTCATCTTGGTGTCTCACATATCAAGGGTACTTGTTCTGCCATAGAAACTTTAGGAAGCAATCTCCAATTCAGTCTGCTTTATGCCCTCTCATCTCACTGGCAAGAGCTATCCAAAGAGTGTAAGTATCATCCCTGTCAATGGGGCAGGTGACTGCTTTGTCCACCCAACTGTCAGCAGAGAAAGCCCAGGAGAGGTAAGAGCAAAGGTAAGAAGAGAGGTGTTTTCTCAAAGCCAAGAAGCAAGCTAAACTGCTACATAGTAACAATACCCTTTTTTGTTGTTGTTGCGGGGGCTTGGGCGCTGTCCCTGAGCTCTTCAGCTCAAGGCCAGCACTCTACCACTTGAGCCACAACACCACTTCTGGTTTTCTGGTGGTTAATTGGAGATAAGTCTCATGGACTTCCTTGCCCAGGCTGGCTTTGAACTGTGATCCTCAGATCTCAGCCTCCTGAGTAGTTAGGATTGCAGGTGTGAGCTACCAGTGCCCAGCTAACATATCCCTTTATCATTTCTCTTATTTATGTTAGTAAAATAAACCACTGTACTTTAAAAAATCTAATTACTGTGATGTTTGGCATATTCAACAAGTAGCTCTGTTTTACTTCATTTTATAAAAGTGATATTTATTTATGGCACTCCGGTTTGAACTCGGAGCCTGCACTCGATAGGTAGGCTGTCTACCACTTGAGTCATACCATTTTTGCTTTAGGTTATTTTTTCCTTTTTGCTTTTTGTCTCGTCTGACCTTGAACCATGATTTCCCAATTTCAGCCTTCTCAGTTGCTATAAGACTATACACATGAGCCACTGAGCCCTGCCAGTGATTTTCATTTGACTCACTGGGACTTTAATACTTGAGTATATGTAGTAAATTCATATCCAAGGATCACATTTGGAACACTAAGTTGGCAGATACACAAACCAGAGAACAACTTCACAGGAAACATTGATGTAACTGCAGTGTTAACCAAAGATGGCATTAGATTTAATCAACTCTTTGGTTGTATGCTATTCCTTTACCATCTATTCAGTGAGGGAAGCTTCCTTCGAAACTAACCTTTTCTGCTCATTTACTGAAAATTGCCATGTGATTACTGCAAGATAGAACCAAGATAGAGTCTTGGTTCTCAAGAAAAAAAAGCAAAGTGTCCAGCCCACTGCATTGGCTCATATGCCAATCTATTTTAAAATTCAGTGCAGTATTTAAGCAATAAAAAATTAAAAACACAAGCTGGATGTCAATGGCTCATACCTGTAATCCTAAATACTCAGGGGTAGGGACTGAGAGCAGAAAAATCTTGTTTTTAGGCCAACATGGACAGGAAAAGTGGAAGGACTCCATCTCCAAACTAACCAGCAAGAAGAAAAACTGGAGGCATGGCCAAGTGATACAATGCCAGCCTAGCAGTAAGCCAAGCAGTTATGAGGCCCTAAATTCAAATATTGTGCATGCATGTGCACACACACATACCCCACATCACAAATCTAAAAGCTTTCAGTATCAATCAGGTTCTGAGAGTTCTAACAACATAACCTCACAGCACGTATAGAAAATGGGGATCATGTAGGCAATTATAGTGTACTACTTGGTTAATTTGCTATACCAGCTTCTGCAACTAGCTCAGCAACTCTAATTTAACTCTATACAGATGGAAAAATCTGCTCTATACTTCTGGCCTCCTGAAATTTTTATTTAATAGTTATGGAGGTGGGAATCAAAGCAGAGGTTCTGATCTTAGGGCTGTGTAAGGGGAGGGGGAGTAATTGAGAGAGTGTATTTGATCCAAGCACAGTATGTGCATGGAAATGTCACAGCGAAACTCACTAATGTGCACAATTAATACGTATTTTAAAATAACAGAGCCTGTGGGGCTGGGAAGGTGTCTCAGTGGTAGAGCGCTTGTCTTGCATGCCTGAGGCCCTGGGTTCGATTCCTCAGCACCACATAAGCAAAAAAAAAAGCCGGAAATGGACTGTGGCTCAAGTGGTAGAGCGCTAGCCTTGAGCTGAAAAGCTAAGGGACAGCGCCCAGGCCCAGAGTGAAGGCCCATGACCAGACCCCCCAAAAAAAACAAACCCCAAAAAACCAGAGCCTGTATTCTG